ATAAACAGATGTATAATCAGCTGTAAAAGCAAAGAGTTGTCGACAAAGTAAAATGCTGTCGACAAAGTAAAAGGCTATCAACGAAGTAAAGAGTTGTCGACAAAGTAAAAGGCTATCAACGAAGTAAATGTTGTCGACAAAGTAAAGGGACGTCGAGAAAGTAAATGGCTATCTTCAAAGTAAATGGTTGTCAACAAAGTAAAAGGCTATCAAAAAAGTAAAGGGCTGTCGACAAATAAAAGAGCTGTCAATAAAGTAAAGGGTTGTCGACAAAGTAAAAGGCTATCAACAAAGTAATGGGTTGTAAAAAAAAGAAGTTCTAACTCAGTAAAAACTTAAAATGCTTCCCTTTGCATTAATGCACATGGGAAAGGCATGAATCCATGTTTCCCTTACCATCTTTAACTAAATAGCAGGGCAGTTGGAGCACTTTAGTTATGGAAGTTAGTCTAGCTAAAAAGGTAACACTGACTAAAAAAATACTACTTGTTAGAAATAGGAAAGGTTTTACATCGTAAAAAAGTACAATGTTTTTTTTATGTTCACTTCGCATGTCTGCCTCTTGTAAAGGCATGAATCAACTCTCCTTTATCCGATGAGCAGTTGGATCATTTTAGCTGTGTAAGTCAGTCTAGCTAATAGACGATTACAAAGAAAAGTTACCTAGCAGAAGTAAAGAAATTCGCATTCCCCACCGTAAAACTTCATAATGTTCTTATGAACACTTCGGATTAATACTCTTTTGAAAAAAGAAAGTGGGGAATAAAACTAGACTTTGCCTATCTTGTCATCTGCATCTCTGTGTCTCTGTGTACTGTTTGGTTTATAGAAGAACATTTGATTACCTTTTGAATATTTTTCGATAAGATATTCATGACTTTTCTTTGTCAACCCCCCCCCCCAAAAAAAAAAAATGATTGCTCCTCATGGAATGCCTTCATGCCAAAACTCCTAAAAATTGGATTTGGTACGATGTAAACTTTTTGTTGTATTTGATAGCAGTTTAAGTAAGCATAGCGAGAATTCGTCTTTGGAGTTTGGGAAATTTTACAAGACTCTAAATCTTTTCATACTGCGCCGGTGTCAACTGGGTAGATTCGGGAAGATCTCGTCTTAGTTAAATCTTAATGAATTCTACTTGATTTATTTCAGGTTCAATTCCTTCAAGAGCCTTTATCAAACTCATTTTATCGCTTCTAATTATAATTTTTAATTCATCCTTTATTCTTCTTTTCTTTTTCAACTCGGCGCTTAATTAGTTTCTCAACGGAACTGATCAGATCTGAGCTTTTGAAAAAAAATAGGCGAGATGTGCTACAATCAAATGGAGCTTTGCTTGGCTGTGATGCTCTCCGTAGTCAATTGGTCTAAAGCACACCGGGCCGGACGGTGGTTCATTCTACGAAGGAAGACGCAGGCAGGTTCGAATCCTGCCAGAGGGCACATTTTCTTTAAGTTTTCTCAAAGGCACAGGCCAGTAGGTGTAATAAAACTGTTAAAATAAAAACAAAACAACAGTGCTTTCTACTCAAATACGGGTAAAATAACGCTTGAAGGTTTATATGTCTAGAGTCTGGACTAGACCGGACAAAAGTAACTACAGTCGGGAAAAAGGAAGAAAGAGAGAAGCCCTAAATGAGTGAGTGTAAAGTTAAAAAAAAAAAAAGAAGGAAAGGGGAAAACGATCACGACTTCCTATACTCACGCACACCCGTACAGACGGACGGGTGCATGACCACAAGCGCAGAGGAACTGAATACTTCATTTAATCTATGGGGTGATAGATAGTTCTCGTTCCGTTTTTCATGTCTATATTACAGCTCAGTTATTGCTCGCCTTGTTTCTACTGCGTCTGTCCTACTCGGATCAGAGATTGAACTAACACCTCCAGTGTCTCTAGCCGACGCTTTAATGTACTTGTAGGATCCCCTTTGATGATTTTTGTAGCCTTTTGGTAGTCCGACAGATATGCAGTGAGGTTGTGACCGTGTCTGGATTAAATACCGTAATTCCCCATGTATAATGCGCTTTCATCCATAATACGCACCCCTAAAATTGTGCTGAAAGTATGGGAAAATGCTTCTACTCATGCATATTACGGACCCCTTGTTTGGTAATCACACCCTATAAAGTTTATCGCTCTAATTTCATTACGGCCAGCGTTTACTACTCTTATTCAAGCTGTAATTGAAGATATTTATCAAAATTTCCGTTCATCACGATTCTAAAAGGAAACGGAAATACCTATATTGTACCAAGTGCGCAGACTCATTAACCCGTTTCTGTTTGATAAAATGTGTAATCTACCGTATTTGTATGTAGTTTTTCACAAAAAATGGTTTTAAACATAGAATAATATTATTCTAATTTAGATTTATGATAAATGTTATTATTTTTTACATTTGTAAGTATTGTTAGGTACACATGATTGTATTTGACATCCTTATGGGGTCGCAATCGCCGAATGTTAGCGTCAAATTGTCGTATGTTTGTGGTGAGTAGTCATTTCGCAACTGAAATCGACCTATAAAACGGCAATTTTTTGAAGATTTTTGTAGTTAATTTTGTTAAATATTTTTTTTAGAAAAAACGCGTTTTATACATGAGGACTTACAGTAGGTGGTGTGGTGTATTGTTTTTCTTTTTTTTTTTTTTTTTAAAGTTTTTGTTTAAGAAAATTCGAACATCTACCTTTGGGGATATCCATATCAGAACAACTACATGTATCACTGTTGTAAATGGTGCCAAAAGCACAAAGCCGTTTCAACCAGCCGTGACCAGGAACAAATTCTTCGTAATGCTTTGAATTAACAATGGCCCGCTTCGCACAGACTGAAAAATATAACAATCAGCAAATAAATAAAATACAAGTAAAAAAAAAAAAAAAAGATCGAAACAAATTTCTGGAAGATCGAATTTTATGAAAACAAATGCTACTGTGTATACGGTCTTTCTAGTGATATTACTGGTAATTCAAATGATTTGTCGGTCGTGTCTCTTCCTGACGTAAGCGATCATGGCTCACCACAACTTCCTATACTTTGTATCTCTAATGTGTGACACTATTTAGCTATGGTAATTGGTTAACTAATTAACCATAGAAATTAAAACAAGAGAATACTGAGAACGAGAGAGGGGGGGTTTAAGAGGATAGCTCTTCTCCGACCTCTCCTCGCGGACGAAGAGATCCCCCCAAAATGGAAAGTGATTAATTTTCCAAAAATGGGAAGTAATCAATTTTCCTGGCCTGTCAGAAATCGAGATTTACCGAAAACCCCAGACTGCGTCTAACCACGCACCGGTTGTTGGTCGGTACCCATATAAATGAATGTCCTCCGGTCGTACGACAGTAGTTGAATTACAGTTGAGACAGTCAGTCAGTTCGAGTAGCAGGAACCAGAGTGTTGCCTCTCAGAAACTGACCGAGAGATTCCACGACCTCCGACTTCGCCTAATCTACCAATAGCAAGTTATACTGACGAACGAAGCTAAGCCAGCACTTAAAAATTAAACCAGTTCATTTAGAAGACCAGAACTTGCCTAAGAAGCGTAAAATTATCACACTCCGTAGAAAACGGGCTGGGCGAAAAACACACTCCTGTATATAACAGATGGATAAAGATGTTATTTTTAACATACTTGAACCTCTTGGGGTTTTATTTGTTTCTTTTTTCTTACGCTTGTGCGATATCACCTCCAGTCTAGACTCATCTTACACTACGGCCTGACGCCTGATTGATCTCGTCTACCTAAGATCAAAATCACAACGTGGGTAGGTTAGACTTGAGATCGAAGCAGTTAATTCGGTAACCAGACGTTGGAAGTGAGCTGGGAACGCCGGAGCTTGTGCCGAACCGGTTGCAGCTGATGTGAAGCCGTTAGCATCGACCGACCATCCCACTTGGTACCCTGACCAAAGGATTCCGCCAGGTAGTGACGACCACCGATCGAACGGGACACAGACTGGTGGCAGCGACTAAGAGTCAACTCCAAAACGACGGTAGGAGAATTATTACAGGTTCGTGCCGCGACTGGAAGTTGACCACGGGCCGACAGCTCAGTGTCACAAATGTTTGGCTTATTGCTATCCTTTCCTATCGCTCTTCTCACATCCATTTACGAGGTCTGATTATAAAGCATTGGAGAAGAAATTAGTGATTAATAGACAAATATTTAATGAAGGGTGAATCATGAAGCAATGAAGTGTGAAGAAGGAATGAGTAAGAAGTATAGGGGGAATCAATGAAGTGTGACGAAGGAATGAGTAAGAAGTGGAGGGTGAATCAATGAAGTGTGAAGAAGGAATGAGTAAGAAGTGGAGGGTGAATCAATGAAGTGTGAAGAAGGGTTGAATAAGAAAGGGTTGAATAAGAAGTGGAGGGTGAGTCAATGAAGTGTGAAGAAGGGTTGAGTAAGAAGTGGAGGGTGAATCAATGAAGTGTGAAGAAGGGTTGAGTAAGAAGTGGAGGGTGAATCAATGAAGTGTGAAGAAGGGTTGAGTAAGAAGTGAAGGGTGAATCAATGAAGTGTGAAGAAGGGTTGAGTAAGAAGTGGAGGGTGAATCAATGAAGTGTGGGGATGAAATTAGTGATTAATTGACAAATAATCAATGGAGAGTGGAGGGTGAATCAATAAATGAATGGAACGCTACGGCGAAGAGCGGAAACGGTGTCTGTGATTTTTAGAGAATGAATGAGGAAAGAGTGACATCGGAGCCAATGAAATATGGCGATAGAATCGATAAAATATGGAAGAGGGAAGAATTAAGAACTTTCGTATCGTGGCGTGGGGGAAGAAAAATATAGTCAGAATTAGTCGCGATAATTTATCTGCACATACGTTCGTTTCCTTCATCCAATTCATGATTCCTTTCCAAAAGGTCTTCTTGCCAATCCTGTTCAGACATTGGCTTCTCCAATATTTCATGATGATCTTTTTCGTCTGAGTCTATATAAGGCTTCTGTTTCAGCTCGGCCATAGGATGTGCGGTTGGTTCAGCGATGTGGCCTCTAAACGATGGATCTGGAGAACTGAGCTTCTCTTTAGGTCCCCTATGTCTTTGGGACGCAGCCGACTGTAATTCTTCGAACTGTTGCTGGCTGAATTCTCTTTTGTTCTGGAGATGCGCGCTAGAAGGGAAATTTGGTGAGGCTGAATCGTCGTTCTCTTCCAGATGCAGATCCTTTGGTTGGGTCGGAAAAGTTGAGGCACACACGATAAGCATTAAAGAAAGGATTAGCGTGATCGAACACCTGAAGAATCGATTCATGGTGACTATTCTCTGGAAACTGGTAAAGAAACAGATACAAAAGTGTTTAAGTACATTTTAATAAATTACATAAATAATAAACATTGTTCAATATTTAATATCGAGTTTCAAACTAGTGTTTAACTTGTTTTTCCATTGTTTCTTCTATTATCTTCGCTAATTTAAAAACAATTCTATATATCTATCTCTCACAGTCTGTAATAAATCTATCTATCTATCTATCTATCTATCTATCTATCTATCTATCTATCTGTTGTGGTAAACCCTCTTACAGTATAATGAACTCTTCCTCCTCTCATAAATACAAACTGCGAGAGTCGGACGGGAGCTCAGAGTGTGAAGTGGAGGGGAGTAGTAGAAGCAGTGCTAATCTACTTATTACTAACACTATTGTTTTGTATATATCTTCAATATACTTTTCAACCTACATTCATCTTCCGTGTTTTTTCTTTCTGGCCCCTAAACAGGCCACAACAATATCTCAGGCTGCAATCTCTCTCTCTCTCTCTCTCTCTCTCTCTATATATATATATATATATATATATATATATATATATATATATATATATCAGGCTTTAATCTATCTATCTATCTATCTATCTATCTATCTATCTATCTATCTCTTTTCTGGTGTATAATTATCAGACGTTTTTTAAACAATATTTATTATGAAAAAAGAAACATAACAATTCAACAATAACATTTTTTAATGAGTATGATTATCGACACGCATTTTTATAACCTGAAAATAAAATAATATTTTTATTAAAAAAAAGTAAACAAAACATTTTTATTAACAAATAACTCGCCTACAAAAACGCCCGATAACTATGCACCAAGTCAACACACGCACACACACACACGCACACACACACACACACACACACACACACACACACACACACACACACACACACACACACACACACACATATATATATATATATATATATATATATATATATATATATATATATATAAACACATTTAAATAGATACTAACTAACTTTCGGACAAAGAATTAGACTGGTTAAGCAAAATAACCCATCCATTGAATAGACAACAGAAGTGACATGGCAATAGTGATAAATGGCTATTAGCAATTATACGTACGGTCATACCAAGAAGTGAATTCAATTAAATGAGAAGAATAAGATAGAAAGAAAGAGAATAAGCTATACCAATCAGAGAAAGAAAGAGAGAGAGTGAGTGAAAGAGAAAAGGAGATGGAATTAAATTGTTTTTAATATATATATCTGTGTGTGTGTGACGCAGGTTCGAATCTTGCCGGAGAACGCATATTTTGCTTTGATAAGATTCCTCGAATATTCAACACGGTAGACGAAAACATATAAATACACTGATTATTAAATGAACAGAGCGTCTACTCAAATACCAACATCCACTAAAATAACGGTTATATATATATATATATATATATATATATTGTGTATATTTAGGCAGCAATTTTTCATTGATGCATGTTTCATTAAATAATATAGATAATATATATATATATATATATATATATATATATATATATATATATATATATATATATATATATATATATATATATATATATAAAACTATCATTATTGTTTCGTTCGTGTATTTGATATATTTAAATGTAATTGTCATCTTTGATAATGGCTTATGTAAGCCGAAAGCTTAGATCTTAAATTAAAATATGTATTAATATGGTGATTTCCTTTCGTCTTTCAATGATAATGTTATTAAGCTTATCAGACAATATGAAAGGAACTTACTTAAAATAGACAAAACTTGTCTATATTATTTAATGAAATATGCATCAATATATATATATATATATATATATATATATATATATATATATATATATATATAACCGTTATTTTTACTCAAATATGAATATCCACTAAAAAAATAACGGTTATATATATATATATATATATATATATATATATATATATTATTATTATTATTATTATTATTATTATTATCATTATTATTATTAAAATATTCTTATTATAATAGATTACTATAAAAATTTTTACATCGCTACACAAAAAATTCATCTTCAGGCGATGGTAGAATATATATATATATATATATATATATATATATATATATGAATGCATTTCTTCCCCTATATGAGTAAATAGTCGGCAACTAGTCAAGGAGAAGGACAATTCTGTATTCAAAAGCCTGAGGAGGGTCGTTTGGAGACCGTATGACACACTATGGACATCAGTTCCGTGTATTCGGTTTTTCCGAAAAGTGTGCTTGGTTCTGCAGAAGCTTTTACCACTAGGATCAAATCCTATTTGCAGGTTGGCTGGTCTGAGGGTTCTAAGAACTGAGCTACTGGATCATCATATGTCGTTGTTACGAAAACCCCGAGCTTATAAATACCAACCAATTTATTTCGCACTTTTTAACACTGTAAATGATTTTCCGAGTGCCCCTTTTATTAAGACCTCTTCGTTTATTGCATACTAAGAAAAAACCCAGACCCATCTGAATTATAAAGACCCTCTCTTGTATTAAGCAACTAAGAATGTATATATACACATCTATCTGTCTATATTTCGGAGATGAGGTGTTTTTACAATTTACACTATTTACATTGTTCGAACTTTTGTCATTGTGACTCTCAAGCTCACGATGTTTCGTCCGAAAGATACATGACCCGGTAGATAAAAGGGTTGGTTGATTGATCCATAAAAGTGACTTGATTTGTGAGTTCAATACCTGACCTCAGCATAGAGAACAAAAACTTGGAAAGTTATTAACTATATTAACTAAAACTGAGATATCCACTGGCATGATACTTGGAAATAGAACAATCTATCCACGTGTACTAAATTAAGGGTTCGGTTCGAAATTTCAATAAATATCACCTGAAGAAGGCTGGATCGTACAATGTCCGAAACGTTGTGAATGTGACAGTAAACATGAGTATAACAGTCTGAACAATGTAAATGGTGTAAATATATATATTGGCTTGTATGTGGATGACTATGCTCTCATTAGCCGATTAAGCACTCTAGAGAAAAGATAATTTAAAAAAAACAGAGGCTGCTCCTGCTCTTAACGCATCGCTCTTCAGACTACTGGCGTTTGTATACATCACGTATATAACACGTTAAATTAAAAATTTCCCTTTCTCTGCCGTTCGCCGATAGCTTAGGGGTAGAATCTCTGATTGATGTCAAATCGGTCGAGTGTCGATCCCGGCTTGAAGCTTGAAAACCAGACTACCCGCACATAGAATTTGAAGCCACTGATGAGCTATGATACAGCGAACAGGCTTGTATGTTGATAACTATATATATATATATATATATATATATATATATATATATATATATATGTGTGTGTGTGTGTGTGTGTGTGTGTGTGTGTGTGTGTGTGTGTGTAAAATGTATATATATATATATATATATATATATATGTATGTATTTTTATATATATTATTTATACATTGTATATGCACGGTACTTATTTGAAAGCGGTCAATATCAGTGATAGAGCTAACATATTTAGTTAGAAACCCAGGGTCACAAACTCACATCAATCCAACAATGTATATATATATATATATATATATATATATATATATATATATATATATATATATATATATATATATATATATATATATATATATATATATATATATATATATATATATACACAGGTGTAACAACAAATTCGTGGAACAGAATGGGATAATTGTCCATCCCACAAAATGTTTAATATCTAAAAAAACACTAAACTGAGTTTCTTTTTTCCAGGAGTTCTGATAAGACATTTAGCCATCTTGACACCATTTGTCATAGAAAAAAAATTTATTAGTTATTTTTTAGTTATTCAGCTAGAAAGAGAACAGGTTAAAATCGTTTTGTGTCAGCCCCACTATATCTTCCCAACTGAGCGATGGTGTGAAGAAAAAGATCATTCAGGCCTTCAGTAATGGTACCAAAATTCATACTCTGGCTTCTATCTTCAAAGTCTATTCAAGAACCAGCAAGAAAATCGTGAATAAGTTTTAAAAAAAGGAAATATTAGGGAAGAAAACTGGATCAGGAGGTCAAAACAGCAAGAGGGATCACCATTTCAACTTAGAGTTAAATACATCGTTATTGTTCAAAGTAGAGTCCAATAGTGTTGCAAAAACCTCGGAAAATTCCAGCAAGATATCTTTAATCATTTCTAGGACACAACAGTCCAAAGTTTAATCTAACAATTGAACAGTTTTGCTGTTACACGATTTGAACAATTTTGCTATTACACCCGGTATATGAAGAGAGTGAGTAACAGATATGTCTTAATACTTGACCTTGTCAAAGAAAAGATACGTCTTAATCAGGGGAGACAGTCATGTGCACATTCATCAAATATTTTTTAAACATTTCACCCCAAGCAAAGCAATAAAGCCACTAAGACGCAATGGATTACTGAAGGGGAGAAGAATATGAGAAAAACAAAAGATTATGAAGGACAAAGAACAATAAAAGAACGGAAATTAAGAAGACAGAATATTACGATTGACTTTGCATTAAATTTTTGAAAAGTGAGAAGCTGGAAGAGAGTTCCATAAGTGAGAAGTGCGAGAGAAGAAACTGTTATCATAGAACTTACGGTTACATCTAGACACATCAGCTGAAAAATGATGAGACCTTATAGCCAATCTCGTAGTACGCTTAAATTCATAAAGTCTAGGTACCATAGAGGAAAGTTCATCAGAACAATTACCATGAAAGTATTTATAGAAAAAGGCATAGGGAAGGTACGTTATGGCGGTGGGAAAGTGACTGAAGCCGAGATTCCAGGTCAGGATCAATAATATTGCATACCTTTTTTTTGTATTTTATCAAGAATCTATAAATATATAAATATGTATCTACCTTGAAATTCATTCAATCAAAATTTTCTCAAATCGACAGGAGTAAATACGTTGAATAAAGATATTTTTAATCGTGTACCTTAACCACCAAAACTGAAGTTCTTGGAAAATAAGAAAGGAAAATATCAGGAATAATTCATCATTTATTTTGGTAAACTGTTTGTTTCTTTATACCATAATTATTCCCTGCTATTTAGAAATACAATGTTTCGAAACAAACAGATGTTGCAGTCTTTCACACTTGTTGGTACAAGACATAATTTTATTTTGGACCTTTATTTAGCCTTATTATACTGGTTTGCTTGAATTACTGAACACATATTGGCTGTTATAGTTACAGCGTTCGGCAGCAATGGTCATCTTCAGATGCCTATTGTATTTAGTAACATTCTCGAAATTTTGTAAAGATTTTCAGTGGTGATATTTATTTTGTAATTCACAAAAGCCCCAAGTAAACCTTAAAACATTAATTCTCCAAATCAATCTCTTTCAGGATAAATAAAGATGTCGCCAAAATTGTGAGGATCGAACTCATTGTACTTGTAAATTGATCTTCACGACTTGTTTGTTAGTCATTGTACTACGGTGGATATTAAGTTGTTTGTTAACTTTAACTTAGCCTGCTACAAGTCCATCGAAATGGAGCATTATGTTAAGATCACATTCAATACAGTTACAACACTTATTTACTAACCATTATAGTAAGCATTATTCGCTAAGAAGTAAAGTTTAGTGCGA